AGTGGCTGGGGTTCCATCCCTGGTATGCCACCCCTGGCAAGCTGTTCTGTCCCCACCCCTGGGGCATGCTGAGAGGGTGATTGAGACTGGGTGTGGCAGCACGCACCTGTAATCCCAATGCTTGGGAGGCTGAAAACAGGAGAATCACTGAGTCCAATCTACTTAATGAGACCGTGTAAACCCTGTAGACCCTTTACTAAATTCATAAGAAAAGAGTCCAGGCTCGGCTGGAGCCCCCACCCTCTTCTTACCAGAGTTGCCCCTTTTATTGAGTGCCCAGCTCTTCCCTGGAGATTTGGAGAGCTGCTCCATTTGCCTGTGGACCCTCTTCCCTTTTTCCTTTGTTTCTCCCTCCCTCCCTTTCTTCTTTCCAAGTTTTCCTAGAGGTGGACTTTCCCTGCCTAGTTCCTGGTGTCCTAGAGAGATCCAGTGTGGGGTCCCACTTAGCGCAGGGCATGGGTTCTTGGTGGGTTAGGTGGATCTGAGTCTGACTGGTCCAGGTGGCCCAAATCTCTGTAGAGCTCAGCACACTCAGGGCTCAGCTAACCTGAAAAGTGCCTGTGGAGGCTGAGGGTGGTCTGGAAGAAAAGCCAGCATGCACAGTGCTGAGATGTGCCAGAGTGACTCAAGGGGCTGGGCTCCTGGACTGGGGTGTGTCTCATAGCTGGATCTCTTGGGTCCCTATGTTATGAAGCCAGCAGACAACAGAAAGTGAGTCCCACATTGTGAGGAGGGCATGTGGTCCCCAGGTAGGAAGGGAATGACAGTGGAGTAGTCTTGAGCAGCTCTGGAGGGCAGCAAGTGGCTACAGGAAAGGAAGACAACAGCCATGGTAAGAGATTAGCTCCCCCCAGGCAGGGCCACACCCACCTCCCATGGGTGAGGGCCTTTGGCATCTGGCAGAGATGGGGTCCAAAAGGTGCCTACCAGGACAGTGGTGTGCACCCCTTTCCTGGCTTCTGGATAATCTCACACAATGCCAGAGCCTTGGTGTCCTAGGGATCTGTAATCCCAGCATTCTGGGAGGCCGAGGCAGAAGGATTCCGAATTGAACAGCCTAGGCAATTTAGCAATTTAGTGAGATCCTCTCTTTAAAAAAGAAAAAAAAAAAAAAAAAAAACAACAACAACAAAAAAAACAGCTTAAGCCTTGTAGGATGACAGAATTACACCAGGAAGGCACATTCTAGCCCAGAGGTGCCTTGTTTGGCTAAGCAGTTAGGTGGTGAGATGCTGCTGAGTCCTGGAGAGGAGGGGTGCCATACAGGAGCAGGCTGAGGCAGCAGATGGGGGGTTGCTTACTCTACTTTCCTCCCAGTCCTGGCTGCCTTGGCTCTGCTGACATGAGCCCTGCAGGCCTCCTCCTCCCTTCAGCTGCTATTTCTTGCTTCAGCCTCCAAGCCCCAGGTGCTGAAGAACACATGGCTTCTGCAGGAACTGGTCTCTGCCCAGGGCGCTGACAACCTGGGAAAGAGGGAGGTGGCTGCTGGGTGCCCTTGCTCCTACTCAGGCAGGAACCTGGCTGGGCAGGTGAAAAAGCACGTGAGGAGGAGGGGTTGGTTTTGCTGCATGGCCCTGATGCATATTTGCCAGCAGACAGCATGGGCTTGGAGTTCAAATCCTAGATCCAAATAATAGAGGCAACCTTGGAAATTCCACTGTGTAAGGGAGGAGCTGGGTGTCCACTTCCTATCAGGCTGTGCACTTTGCACAAGAGTGTTGCCGTGGTCTCCGGGGAACTTTGCAATTCTCTCCATTCTTAGGCAGGTCCTTGACCTGCCAGTCTGTGCCTGGGACTGTGGCCTCCCAGTACACACAGGTGTAGGGAGCTGCAGGTGCCCGGGTGCTCACTGCTTCAGGAAATGGATGGGCACAAGTGTTCGCTGTTTGTGTAAATTACTGAACACTCATTAAACAGAAGGAGACAGATCCATATGCACTTGTATGGAGAGAAGCCTGCTGCGCTTGTTAGGGGAAATGTTTGTGAGTAGCGTGATACCCTTTTATAAACACATACTTCTGGATCTGGATGTGTGTACGAATGAATGTGTATGGATAAAACATGTAACTTACACATGACTGTAAAAAGTCTAAAAAGGGGAGCTGGGGACAGTGATGTGTGCCTGTAATGCCAGCTACTTGGGAAAGCTAAGAGAGGAAGATTGCACATCTCAGGCCAGCTTGGGAAACTTAGCAAGGCTCTGTCAAGAAACAAACAGGGGCCGGGGAGATGGTTCAGTAGAATAAGCGCTTCCCTGGCAAGCAAAAGGGTCTGAGTTCAACCCCCAGTTTCGCAAAAAAGAAAAGAAACAAACAAACAGAGGCTGGGGATGTAGCTAAATGGTAAAGCACCCCTAGGTTCAACCCCCAGTTCTGGGGGGCAAATCTAAATGGGTACTTGCCTAATAAGCTAGTTTATTGGTGGAAGGGTGATCCTGGGAGTGGGGGGTGGTTAAAATAGGAGGTTTAACCCCTTTAACACTAGGCACTTTTATGCTGTTTGAATTTTTATAATATGCTTGGCTTTTATAACAAATTAAGTTTGTTTTTAATACAAAAGACAAAAAGCATAGATATTAATGGATTACTATATGATCTTTCAATTTTGTATACATTGCGCAATGTATAAGTCAGGCCAGACATATGTATCTCTCCTAAAGATTGATCATTCCCTCCTGGTGAAAACATTTAAACTCTTTCGCCTACATTTCTGATGCACAGGATGTGATTTTAAAATGTACAGTGCATGTTTAATTTTTCTCCCAAAAATTTATCATAGTAAAAGACATTCATTCAGCCCCCTCACTTAAGACACACTTATCCCATCATTCTTGCGACTTTCCAAAGCAATTCTGGAAGTGCTTTCATGTGTTTAGTTGTGCTGTCATGGCTGCCTTGGTGTGCTGAGTTGATTATAAAATTTGCCTTGGGCTGGGGAGATGGCTCAGTGGAATATGCACTTCCCTGGCAAGCGCAAGGGCCTGAGTTCAATCCCTGGTAGCAAAAAAAAAAAAAAAAAAAAAAAAAAAGGAT